TTTACTCAAGGAAGATAAATTTGAATCTTGAGCTAAAAAAAATTCAAGCATTTGAGCTAAGTGCAGGAAATGAGATAATTTATGAAAAAGTCTTTACCTTTTGACATGGATGTATTTATTGTCCTCAGAAAAGCGAACAAGAATGTACTAAACATCCACTTTACTCGATTTCAAACTTTGTATCATTTGACTTGTATTCTTCATATCACAAAAATTTCTCATAAGTCTACATATAGTGTCTATTCCTAATAAATTGTCTTAGACATTTCCTATGAGAAATGAAAAATGACATGAATGTTAAAATGCAAGTACTGAAAAAAAAAATTGACATGGAAAGTGGTAGACTTGTCCAAGAGAAAGAGACCTGTGGGATGTAACTTGGTGTTTACTATAAAATACAAGGCAGATGAGACCATAGAGAAATATAAAGCAAGACTAGTGGCTAAAAGATGTACCTAAACTTATTGAATAGACTACTAGGAAACTTTCACACCAGTTGTGAAGACAAATATAATGCGAATCCTACTACCCTTAGTTGCCAACTTTAACTGATAATTACAACAATTTGATATAAACAATCTCTTTCTGCATAGAGACCTAGAAGAAATCTATATGAAAATTCCTCCAAGATTTACCAAAAAGGCAAGAGCAAAGAAAGTGTATAGACTAAAAAAGGACCCTGTGGACTCAAGTAACCGAGAGCATGGTTTGGAAGATTTGTAGAGATATTGATAATGGAGCACAAGTAGGCAGGGAGACGGCACCCTGTTTATCAAGCACTCAGACTCAATAGAAGTTACAGCTCTCTTGCTGTATATTGATAATATTACTGTAACAGGTTGTGATGAAAAAAAGAGATTGGTTCTCAAACAATGTCTAGCCAAAGAATTTGATATTAAAAAATTGAAAAAAGTTAGAATACTTCATTGGAATAGAAGTAGCTCGCTCAAAAATTGGTATTCTCATCTCCTAGCTGAAGTATCTTAATGATCTATTGTAGGACATAAGTAAGTTGACCTGCAAATCAGCTAACACATTGATTAATCCCAACCATAAACTGGGACTAGCTGAGCACGACATAAAGTTAATAAAGAGATGAACTAGAGGCTGGCTAGAAGATCCGGTATACTTGTTACACACAAGAGCAGATATTGTCTATGCAGTGATTATAATAAATCAATTTATGCACAACCTTAAAGAAATGCATTTACAGCCTGTATATTGAGCTAAACTACTTCAAGGGGGCACCAGAGAAAGGTATCATGTTCAAAAGAAGAAAACAATAGCTTACTTCTCGAAGCGTACACTGACAGAGATTATGTGGGATCGATAGTAAACAAAAGAACTACCACTAGCTATTGCATCGTTATTAAAGGAATCTAGTCACATAGAAAAGTAAAAAGCAAAATTTGGAAGCAAAGTTTAGTGCAGAATTAGAATTTTGGATAATGACACAAGAAATATGGAAGCTACATTGGTCAAAAAAGATTTTGGAAGACCTAAAGACTAAATGGGATGGTCCAACAAGGCTTTATTGTGACAACAAATCAACAATCAACATTACTCAAAATCCATTACAACACAACAGAACCAAGCATATCGCAGTTGACAAGCATTTATCAAATAAAAACTAGATAATGGTCTCATATATACATCTTACATGCCTAGCAACTCTCAATTTACATATGTGTTAACTAAGGACATACATCATCCAAGGTTCCAGATAATCATTGTCATTGTCAAGTTAGGAATGGACAATGTCTATTCACCAACTTGAAAAGGAGTGCTAAAAAGCGTATATTTTATAAAATTAGTATAGATAGTGTATTAGCAAAATACCCACATATATAATTAATAGTAAATTTCCTTTTATTACTCCAAAACTATGTATATATAAGGTCTTTTTATTCAATAATAGATACAACAATTCATTCTTCCACAGAGAGATATATTGTGAAGGGTGGTCAAACCTATTGGAGATGGGCTATTTTGGCTTGGACCATGGATTTCATGGCTTGAAAGGAAACGGAAGATTTTTAATGACTATTTCTGGTCTATTTAGAATTCATGGGATTGGATAACTTTTTCGGCTGCATTATAGGTGAAGGCTCATGAGCAGTTCTTTGATATCATTGTCTATGCTCTACAAGAATTGGGTTGCAGTAGCCTCGTAGGTCTAAGGGCAATGACCTTTCTTCTTTTTGTTTTTGTTTTTGCCATTTGGTTGCTGTCTATATTTGCCCAATCCTTCCAAATGCAGATTATAGGACGATGTGTTATTCTCCCTGGTTATATTGTTATCTTTCTCTCCTTAATAATACTTCTTTTTCTATTAGAAAAAACACTTACAAGAAAATCATAAACTCAATTGCTTTACAATTTTCTTAAAATTCCAATATATTTTATGCACTTAGTTCTAATACACTGATAATGGTCAAGTTATTCTCACAAGCTCATTACTAGATTTGCGTCCCCGATAACAGTTTTCCTATCTTATTTTATCATACTAGATTTGATTTCAATCTCATACGCTTGTGTTGCATCACAAGCCTTTGAATACAGCTATCAAACAACATCCCAACTTTCTCCAGCCACGAACAAAACCAAGTGTAATTTATCTTAGAATTCTATTGATGTCCATAATTATAAAATGATAATTGAATATGCTTCTCCCATGCATTAAAATCTTGGATCTCCTTCCTTCGGTCCTATCCCTAGGATATGACTAAGTATTTTTTTCTTTTCCTATAGATAGATTCGAATAAATTGGGATGACTTAAGATAATTCTTCGTGTTGTCTCCATCTCTAAATATTTTGGAGCTCTCTCCTATTGGATGATTGATGAGAAGTTCCGCGGTTTGGCTAGTGATGTTGAAAAACAATCTCATCTTTGCCATTTCTAACATCTTCTCTAACATGGTACATCAAGGTTCATCTTATAAGGACTTTCAGCAAGGATCCTAATGACTAAGGTTGTGAACAGCTCTCAAGTCCACTAAGGAAGCCAACTTTGAAGGTTAATGAAAACTATGCAGCAATGAATGCTAAAAGAAACAATGAGCAAAGGAGACAATGCATTGGGGCCAGCTTTGGCGTCCCCAAGTACACATAGAGAGAGCATCCATGTGCTAGCCGGATGCATGCTGGGGCGGCTTCAAGGGACAGACATCTGAGTTGAGGAACACACCAGCAATAGGACAGAGGCTAAGGTGAGGGAAACGATGCTGCAAACTTTGTTTTTCCTTTTTGTTAATAGAAAAATAAGAACATAAACAGCAATGAAGACCAAAGGAGTGTATACATGGGTGTATTTCTTGTATATTGAAAATGAGTATATACATGGGTCTATATGGTTATTACAATGAGAAGTAATAGGAAGCTACCTACAACAAATAAAACCAAATCAAATCTTGGATCCATGGGATTCTCTAATTGGTATCTCAAATTTTTATAAAGATTGATTTCCTAATATTAAGAGAGAATATTGAGAGATTTTCCTACAAAAATAAATATAGAGCCAAAAAAGCCAAGGAATCAATACAAAATCGGGTATTTACTGCTAAATGTCATAAGGGTTTTCCA